ACAGTTGCCTGATATTCAGACCTTACATCATCTTCAAAACTCTTTCATCTCCTAAATACCGCTGCCTACTTTTGCACAGTTTATAAATCAAGACCGTCATCGCGTAAGGTGGCAACCATGTCAGCATCAATGTCCTTGGGGTTTAAAACTTTTTTTCTGCCGGCAGAGGATGATATCACGATGACAAATTTTACCCATTATCAAGAGAAGTCGCTACGATTTACATTTTAAGTCTTCTTTGAACAGTCGGATATCAGTTTTCCTGCAAAGAAACAATGCAGGTATTAATAAGAAAGGTTGAAATTAATGCATGCAAGATTTCACGGTTCTAGCATCACTCCTTCATAGTCAACCTATGAACTGTTCAGCCCACCTTCGTTCCTGGAAAGAAATAATAGTTATTAATAACAGTTGAAATGAATGCATGCAAGGTTTCACACCTCTAGCATTGCTCCTTCATAGTCAACCTATATATTTTTCAGCCCATCTTCGTACCTGGAAAGAAATAATAGTTATTAATAAGAGTTGAAATGAATGCATGCGAGGTTTCACACTTCTAGCATTACTCCTTCATAGTCAACCTATATATTTTTCAGCCCATCTTCGTACCTGGAAAGAAATAATAGTTATTAATAAGAGTTGAAATGAATGCATGCAAGGTTTCACACCTCTAGCATTACTCCTTCATAGTCAACCTATATATTTTTCAGCCCATCTTCGTACCTGGAAAGAAATAATAGTTATTAATAAGAGTTGAAATGAATGCATGCGAGGTTTCACACTTCTAGCATTACTCCTTCATAGTCAACCTATATATTTTTCAGCCCACTTTCGTACCTGGAAAGAAATAATAGTTATTAATAAAAGTTGAAATGAATGCATGCAAGGTTTCACACCTCTAGCATTACTCTTTCATAATCAACCTATATATTTTTCAGCCCACCTTCGTACCTGGAAAGAAACAATGCAGTTTTTAAGAGTTGAAATTAATGCAAGCAAGATTTAACACCGTCAGCATCACTCCTTCATAGTTAGACTATGAACTTTTCAGCCTACCCTCGTGCCTGGAAAAAAAAAACAATGCAGTTTTTAATAAGAGTTGAACTTAATTCATACAAGTTTTCACATCACTCCTTCATAGTCAGCCTATGAACTTTTCAGCCCTTCCTCTGACCTGGAAAGTAACAATGTAGTTATTAAGAAGAGTTGAAATGAATGCATGCAAGTTTTCACAGCTGTATCCTCATTCCTTCATTTTCAGCCTATGAACATTTCAGCCCTTCCTCTGACCTGGAAAGTAACAATGTAGTTATTAAGAAGAGTTGAAATGAATGCATGCAAGTTTTCACAGCTGTATCCTCATTCCTTCATTTTCAGCCTATGAACATTTCAGCCCTTCCTCTGACCTGGAAAGTAACAATGTAGTTATTAAGAAGAGTTGAAATGAATGCATGCAAGTTTTCACAGCTGTATCCTCATTCCTTCATTTTCAGCCTATGAACATTTCAGCCCTTCGTCTGACCTGGAAAGTAACAATGTAGTTATTAAGAAGAGTTGAAATGAATGCATGCAAGTTTTTCACAGCTGTATCCTCATTCCTTCATTTTCAGCCTATGAACATTTCAGCCCTTCCTCTGACCTGGAAAGTAACAATGTAGTTATTAAGAAGAGTTGAAATGAATGCATGCAAGTTTTCACAGCTGTATCCTCATTCCTTCATTTTCAGCCTATGAACATTTCAGCCCTTCCTCTGACCTGGAAAGTAACAATGTAGTTATTAAGAAGAGTTGAAATGAATGCATGCAAGTTTTCACAGCTGTATCCTCATTCCTTCATTTTCAGCCTATGAACTTTTCAGCCCTTCCTCTGACCTGAAAGTAACAATGTAGTTATTAAGAAGAGTTGAAATGAATGCATGCAAGTTTTCACAGCTGTATCCTCATTCCTTCATTTTCAGCCTATGAACATTTCAGCCCTTCCTCTGACCTGGAAAGTAACAATGTAGTTATTAAGAAGAGTTGAAATGAATGCATGCAAGTTTTCACAGCTGTATCCTCATTCCTTCATTTTCAGCCTATGAACATTTCAGCCCTTCCTCTGACCTGGAAAGTAACAATGTAGTTATTAAGAAGAGTTGAAATGAATGCATGCAAGTTTTCACAGCTGTATCCTCATTCCTTCATTTTCAGCCTATGAACATTTCAGCCCTTCGTCTGACCTGGAAAGTAACAATGTAGTTATTAAGAAGAGTTGAAATGAATGCATGCAAGTTTTCACAGCTGTATCCTCATTCCTTCATTTTCAGCCTATGAACCTGGAAAGTAACAATGTAGTTATTAAGAAGAGTTGAAATGAATGCATATTTATACAGTGTATCCTCATTCCTTCATTTTCAGTTTTGAACATTTCAGCCATATCTCTGACCTGGAAAGTAACAATATATTATTAAGAAGAGTTGAAATGAAGATAGATTTCAATGTATCCTCATTCCTTCATTTTCAGCCTATGAACATCTTTCAGCCCTTCTTCTGACCCGGAAAGTAACAATGTAGTTATTAAGAAGAGTTTAAATAAATGCATGCAAGTTTTCACAGCTGTATCCTCATTCCTTCATTTTCAGGTGATGAACACGAGCCCTTCCTCTGACCTGGTTAACAATGTAGTTATTAAGAAGAGTGCAAAATGAATGCATGCAAGTTTTCACAGCTGTATCCTCATTCCTTCATTTTCAGCCTATGAACTTTTCGCCTCATACATATTTATAAGTCTACCATTCGTTATTGTTTTGATATTGCTGACATATCTGTTCAATTGGCCCCCCTACAATATATTCTTGATTAAATACGAAGATAGATCTTCAATGTTATTGGTCCTAACCTGGCATCTCGACTTCAGTTACTTTTCACCGCCGTAATGTAGCTTCAGTATCCCCTTTCTATAAATACTTTCATGATAATTGTACTGATGAACTTTTCTCTAGGTGACTACGAGGTCTCATCGTTTCGACTGATGAACATGCAAGATGCAACCGTAAGTTCTATTCAAATGCTTTCTTCCTTCGCACTTCTCGCCTGTGTAACTCTCTTCCAGCTCGTTGCTTTCCTGTCAATTTACATGTAAATACTATATAAATCGTGAACTTCTGCCTTTTTCAGCCACAGTTCTTTGATTGTAGTCTTTCTTTCTCTATCAGAAACCCCGTTATGTCTTAGTGACTTTATCGCCTTGATTGGAGTGAATTGATTTAATAAAAGACAAATGAACTTAAAAAAATATGGTGATATTCTAAGCATATCTTAGACGAGGCACAAGGTCGAAATTACGGGGCGCCCAGCAAGGATCGAACTCACTACTCAATTGTAATTGATCTAACAAGACAAGCTTGCTGAACATGACACCACGTCGAAGGGTCCTAAATGACTAAGTGTAGCTTATATATGTGTCGCAAGGCCGAAAGTATGGGGTATTCAGTGAGGATCGAACTCACTACTCAGTCGTAACTGATCTAATGAGACAAGCTTAATGACCATGACACCACGTAGAAAGTGTCCTAAATGACTTTCTAAGCGTGGCTTAGGTGTGGCACAAGGCCGAAAGTATGGTGCACCCAGTGAGGATCGATCTCACTATTCAGCCGTAACTCTAACGAGACAAGCTTTATGACCATGACACCACGTAGAAAGTGTCCTAAATGACTTTCTAAGCGTGGCTTAGGTGTGGCACAAGGCCGAAAGTATGGTGCACCCAGTGAGGATCGAACTCACTATTCAGTCGGAATTGATTGAGCGAGACTAGCGTAGTAACCACTTCGCCACAACCAAGTGTTCTATAGGGGTTAATAAAATATGACGACATTTTTTGAGAGCGAGGGTAAACTAGTTTCAAAAGTTCATTCTGGAATAGGTTAATCAGCCAATGTGTCTTTTTTTTTTTTTTCCTTCTTTCTCTTATTGCTTCTTGGCATGCAATATTCTTCCATGACTTTAATGGTTCCATTGTTCTCTTGTGTCCAACATTTCACATAGATGCATATAATGGCCCAAACAATCATAGATCCGATCTTATCTTCGTCTATGATCTTCAATGCTGTTTTCCAAGAACCTGCAATGGCCAACACGTTAACACTTTCTTCGGAAGTCTTTTCAAGTTTTAAAACTTTGGCAACTTGACAACGTTCAAACGGCATTTAATAAACAACTGCTGAAATGTGCGTTCGGCCAGCACTGAAAATCGATATAGCAGCCTGTTTTTTTTTGTTTTTTTTTTCATCGCTGCATGGGTGGGTCATGTAAATTTACGAAATTTGATTGCCTATACTGATACTCAAACATGCACCTGACCACTTAATAAAATTATCAAAATGATGGGATCGATCCCAGGAAAGTTTAGGTTCATGCCTTTCTAAAGATTAGATCCCTTAACCAGAATATGAACTTGTTACGCTGATTTCAGTATCTGGAACTTAATGCCATATCACATTGAAATACCAGTTATTGTGCGATCGCCAAAGTTAAACAACGTCGAACTTGGTCACTATGTAGATGGGTGACCGCTTTGGAATACCAGGTGCTTGGATGTGCAGTTGGTGTAATGGATAACAGCTGGGAATTAAAACACGGGTGTCGAGTTTCCAATTCCAGTTCGTTATAATCACGCGCAAATAAACTTGGCAAAGGTATAGATGTACCTCTTGCCCCCCATAGCTGTAGGTTAATTAGTAGAACATTATCATTATCTCAAAAAAAATCATACAATTCAAAACATACGTTTTCTACTGCTTTTCAAGTTATTTAAAGCCAGAAAATATTTTTAGATTGTAAGATTTGTAATGATTTAATTATACAAACCTTACTAATTAACCCATATCGGGGGGAGAGTAGAAATGCATTCCAACCTTTCCCACGATTATTTGCACGTAAATGAATACAACAAACCCAACTTCAATTAGAAATCAGCTGTCTGACTGAAAAATTAGAGCCATTATCTATTACACAATTCACCCTGGTATTCCTAAGTGGTCACCCATCTACGTACTGACCATTCTCAATGTTGCTTAACGTCGGTGATCGTACGAGAACCAGTGTTTCAAAATTATATGTCCGTAAGCCATTTCTACCCGCCCATCCAAACTTATATCATCTGGTTTTCCAAACGATCACCCAACTAGAGACCGACCAAGGTCGACATTGCTTAACGTCAATGATCTTACGAGAAATAGCGTTTCAATGTTATATGGCCGTAAGGCATTTCTACCCGCACACCCAAGCTTACTTCAGTCGGTTTTCCAAGTGGTCACCCATCTAGGAACCGACCAGGTTCGACGTTGCTTTACTTCGGTGAACTTATGATAACCGATGTTTCAATGTTATACGGCCGTAAGCCATTTCTACCCGCACACCCAAGATTACATTACTTGGTTTTCCAAGTGGTCACCCATCTAGGTACCGACTAGGGTCGACGTTGCTTAACTTCGGTGAACTTATGATAACCGATGTTTCAATGTTATATGACCGTAAGCCATTTCTACCCGCACACCCAAGCTTACAGCAGCTGGATTTCCTAAGCGGACACCCATCTAGGTACGACTTTGCTCACTGTCACATAATCGAGGATGGAACTAACCCGAAATAATGCAGGATCTGTTGAAAATATGATGAAGCTGTCGACCATATTATCTCAAGATGTCTGGAACTGGCAAAAAATGAATATACCCACAGAGATAACAAGTCATAACAAGGTAGTGACATATTTGCACGGGAAGATATTCAAGAAGCACAAAATCGAAACCACTGAGAGATGGTATGACCACCAACCAGACACAGTTACCCAAAATAACGATGTAACTATCCTCTGGGACATGCCAATTCAAACTGACAAGGAAATAGAAGCCAACAGATTTGATATTATCATAAAAGACAAGAAATTCGGGAAGTGTATGTTTATTGACATAGCAGTACCATCTGAGAGAAACACCTCCATGAAAATTATGGAGAAATTGTCCAAATACAAGGAACTGGAGATCGAGATGGGGAATGAAGACTGAGACTGTACCAATAGCAATCAGAACACTGGGACTCATGAGAAAAGGAATGGACAATTTTACTAACAGTGTCCCAGGTAACATCAGCATACAAGTTGCTCAGAAGATCACCTTATTAGGAACATCCCATATATTAAGAAAAGGGCTATCAATTAAATGACAATTCTCCTATTGGGCCTAAGGACCATTGTTTTGACCCGGTTCTACAGGATACAAAGCAGGAAACATAACATAAACAAATAATAATAATAATCGCCGATTTCGGGTTTTGTATCATATCGGCTCAAATGACAACCCCAACCTGATTCCGACCGTGTCAGGACGCCTCCTTGAAAGCGTCGTGTTACGCACCTAGGCCTTGAAAATCATAAAAGTGACATAGCCAAGAGTTCAACCGTTCTTATTGAAATCCGTCAGTCAGCGTCAGCCAATGAAAAAAGATTTTCCACTCACCACACTCCTATATACTGTTTTCTGGGGTGGGGGGTTACTTTCTCCGGTTTCGATTCACATTAACTATTCCTGGATTCCTAACTCGGTAAGCTGGCCTCTTTCTTGTATAGTTTAATCCAAATGTTTCATTCGTTTTAAATTAATAATTCCATAAGATTACTAACCCTTTAACTAACGCCTACACGCGTACCAAACCCAAATCTATCATCTGCCTATACTAGCAACTATATTTTGCCAAAAATTAGTCTAAATTTGTAAAAGCGAGAAGTCGTTTCTAAATATTTACTATTCTTACTATCAGATAAGTTTACATTTACCTTATGCATTGAACGAAATTACATAAAAAATTTTAGTTTAGTTTAAACATACATGTACACACACGCGTATACATATATATGTATATACACGTACATGCACGGGCACAAATGCATATATTTATCTATCCCCCATTGCATTACCGTCCTGGGTATGACGATAAACTACATGCGTGTCCTGGGTAAGACGATAAACTGCATCCGTGTCCTGGGTAAGACGATAAACTGATCAGGTTTTGAGGAGAGTGGAATCACCTCTTAATTGCTGGTGTTCCCAGGTCTACTCTGACCCGGGTGGTAGCACCTGTTAGGGTCGCAGCTATGGGCAAATAGTTAACCCCGAAACTGGGGTAAAAACACTATGAAAGTGTAAAAATAGGTTTTAATACCAGAAATACTTCGTAAGAAAAATTATTGCCAGCAATAAATTTTTTAATGAAAAAAAATATTACCAACAATATGTTTTTGAAGAAAAAATATTACCAACTATACATTTTTGGGGAAAAAATATTACCAGCAATGCTTTTTTGAAAATTATTACCAGCAATACATTTTTGAAGAAAAAATATTACCAGAAATAAATTTTTGACAAAACAAAATATTACCAGCAATAAAAACTTTTCGGCACTAAATAACCCATTGAGGTTGATATGCCGTAAACCAAACCAAACCAAACCAAACCAAACCATTTGCATTAACTTACTTCTACCAACCCAATGTTAGCTGGACGACAAACATTTCAAAATTAACTCGTACTATTTATTTGAATTTTTTTCTTTTTCTTTTCTCTTTTTCCTTCTCCCTTTTTTTTTTTTTTTTTTTTTTTTTTTTTTGCTACCGAGTAAAACAATTCAATAACCTATAAAATAAATAGACACAAAATTACTAAGTATTACTCGAAATAAATTTGACCAAATAATACTAAGATCGAAAAACGACATTATCAAAACTCTATGATTCCTACGCTAGTATTTAATATAATAATTCAAATCTTTTGCTCTCTGAAATTACATTCAACACAAACAAGCATTTGGGCATGGATATGGAAATAAATAAATAAATAATAATAATAATAATAATAATAAAGAATTCTATAATCTTCCTAAAACCAGATCTTCTGATTCATGTTACACAAATTTCCACTACTGGCCGGATGTGAACGCTCCGAAACCCAAGACTGAACTAAAAATTCCGTCAACTGCGCATCGGCTCCGCACATAGCTTCCGTTTCACTGACACACTCAAAGAAAAATACAATCCACAATTTCCACCCAATAGCACCTTCTCCCTCCTAAAGAAACGAAATAAAAATTGGAGTCGATCTGAGCGTAAGAAAAGGACATAAAAGCCCATCAAAGGGACATCTTCAGAGTCGGGCGGCATGGATTCACAACGCACGTCGGAAATGACCTCCCATCTCCAAAGACAATTCATCAAAGGCCGTCGCCACAGTAAGTCACAACTTAAACTCCCTCTCCTACCGTACGCCTCTGCGAATGACTTTTACAATTCTACTTATTTCTTTCTGTTAGCGAGAGATATTTACACCAATTTACCAGTTATCGTATTTTTACGTTAATACAAGAGTTTGTTTCTTAAACCTCCGGCATCTCTTCTTTGTTCTGCCACCGTACGCTTGATATAACGAAACCATATTACAAGTTGATGTGTAGTGGGTATCACTTCTTTGGTTGTGAGGTGTATGGACATGGCCTCTTGGAACATTTATCCCACAAACAACATTGTCAGGGTAAAAACAAAAACAAAGCAATGAACAAAACATACAATAATGCACGTTATTGTGGCATACGTGTTCACTAGGTAATAGAATAATTATTTTATCGGAAACTGGGAATAAAATGAACTGATCCAAGGGATTAAAATAAATAATGTATTTTAATCTATTTCCTTCTAAGTGATGAGTCCTTTGGGATTTGGCGTAGCAAAAAGTTCATTATTAAGACGGATATTGATAGCAGTCTGGAGAAATGTCCGTTTCGGTAGTTTTGAAGTCAGACCAAGATAGGGGTAATAATAATGTGAGAAATTAGGACAGTGCCAATCTACTGTGTTCTTTTTGGCTCTAAAACTGAGTGGAATGTCGGTAACATTCAGGATTCACAATGCTCGTTGAAACGAGACCTCCTATCTCCAAAGACAACGTCGCCGCAGTAAATCACAACTTAACCTCCCTCTCCTATCGTAGGCCTCTGCAGACGTCTTTTACGATTCTACTGATCTCTTCGAGAGAATTTACACTAATTTACTATTTGTTGTATTTTTACGTTAATATAATTGTTTATTTCTTAAACCTCGACCATTCCTTCTTTGTTCTGCCACCAGACGCTTAATATAACAGAATGTTACGGAGTGTGCTTCAACTTTGGTCAGACTTGATCTCCAGTGACTGTCACTAGGTAATTCAAATGTAATGAAAAGAAGATTCATATTCTAAGATTTTATATTCAAATTTACGTTTAACTTTCTACATTTCAACCATTGATTCATATTTGACCGAAAGAAACTGACAAGATTGATTTTGTCGTTCTTTACTTTCTTGCGCCTGCAGAGAATTCGTGACTCAAAAAATCTTCGCGCAGATATAAGCTGGATAAGATGTCTAATTGAAACTGACATGTCACCCGGCATCGTCCTTTCTCAATAACCAAAAGACGCTTAGAATTTAAAATTCCTTTCGAGACATATCTGAAGCCTTTGTAAGCAAAGAAAACCCCGGAAAATAAAATATACCTAAGTACACAATAACTAAAGTTGAATGTTTATACAAACTCATTATTTTCGGCATCCTTTGAGAATATCTTTTATTCATCTAAATTCATAGCACCATTATTCAATCATAAAGTGTTTCCCTGACTTTATATATTTATATCATGGAAAGCTGCTTTTCAGCTACATTGTATATTCTACTATAATAGTTTTTAGCATTTTTTGTTCCATATCTTTTCATGTTAAAAATTTTGTGTATAATATAACATTGAAATTGGAAAAAATCCCTCGGAAGAAAAGGTTAGCAATAGATGGCGACAAGTCCAATTTCAAGACCAAGTTGAAACAAGATGATCACTTAATAGACAAAAATATCTGAGTACCTCACATGAAGGGCTAGAACAAATAAGACTGTGATCTAAAAAACATAGGAGTAAAGGTACTGATTAATTAAATGGTTCATTTTTTTCTAAGGAACTAATTTAATCTAAATGCAGATGAATATACATGATACACACTTGGGTGACAATGACACTTTTGATTCATAACCGAATAAACAGAAGAA